ATGACACCCAGCTTTGATGATGTCCATCATATGATGGACGAAAGCTCAACACGTTTTCACCCGAAACGAGAGAGGAAGTCCCGTGGACTACGTTAACATGAATATCCTATGCAATCCAACCGGCTGCAGTACAACGAGTTTTATCCCTCCTCATCTGGTGAAATCGACCAACGAATCTCTTCTTCATGCACTTTCATACGAAATGAAGGTCCCTCTAACAAAATATGTCATATATCAGATAGAAACCTTAAAATTGAGGTGGCTGTGCAGTTAAGAATTTTCAGGCTTATATTCCTTTATATTAACAAAAGCTTCTGTTTATCAAACAAAACGAGCTAACTGACCGTCATAGGATCACTAGACCTAGAAAAATAGTCCTTTCACATTTTAGAAAAAGGCAGGATACTTTTTATAATTGAAAAACAAATACAAGTGAGCAAGGCAAAAGCAAATGGGAGCCAATCAGCAATAAAAAAGAAATTCAGCGTACCTGACGTAAATCGACGTCCCTCTCTTTGAAGATGAATGTCAGTAGGCTGACCGTTGGACCAAAAATAGTGCCTCCGGAGGCTCTACCTAACAAGCTTTTCGTGTTGGGTACTCTCCCAATCTCGACTCCCCCACTTTGCTCCTTGGTTTGTTGAATGTTGTGAGACTGGTCGTCACCAACTAACGCCGTGCTTTTTTCCGGACTTTTCTGACTGAATATAGGAAGATCTAAGAGAAGCGATTCGCCCGCTTGTTCGGACACAATAGTTGGAGTGAATGGGGTATTGCCAATGGAGCCTTCTGGCGGCTGAAGCAGCGGCCAGACTTTTAGGATCAGCTGACGTGGTGGAGAGTCGAGGAGACGCCGAAGTGCGATTAGACAGAGGCGCTGGCATTTAGCCTGAAATCAGAAACAGATAAAGCAATTAAAAGGCAAAGCTTTCGAGTTAGCGTATGAATATGAGCTAATAGTGAATAAAGAAACTAAAGGAAGCGACTATAGATATACAATTTCGCTCCCATCCGATGCAGTCAAAATAAATTCAAATCAGGGCCTTACTCGAAATAAATCAGCAAAGGATCACATATAACTACAATTACAAAATTAAATTAATATTCCATTCATTAACTGCTACGTTGGATTTTGATTTTGATCCGATACGCCTGTGAATAAAACTCTTTATTCCAAATTGACAATATATAACTTATTTTCGAGTATTATATTGCTTCTTCTCAAAAAGAGGAATCTTGCAAGGTGTTGTTTTATAAAGCCGGAGATGAGAAATTAAATAGAAAAATGAATTTACAGTTGAACATTACGCAAGGTACAAGACCGATTATAGGCTTTTTAATTGATGTTGCTTTCGGAGATAATAAACGCCAGTTCATTGCCACAGCCAGCAAAGGCACTCACAGTACAAATGAGAACTGATCTTAAATCCAGGCTTATAAAAAGACAATTATGGTTTCTAGGAATGCATTTTCTGCATTTAAGTAGCTCTATCCTCTAGAACCTCTTCATCCAAGGTAGATTGGTGCCTGCAAACGGCAGTAATACAACATATTATTGAATTTCCGCCATAGAGGAAGGGTGTCATGTGATGCCGGGTTGTGAGCATCCTGACGAAGTTAAAACACCATAATTATCAGCATTGGACCATGGACTTGGTATATTCCTAAGCTTTTCGCCGGCATCGTCAGCACCAAGCTACAACTCGCCAAAGAGACAAGCGAAGTTACAATGGATTGCCCTTGACCAACTTTCTACGGAGACGGTTGTGCTATCGCTCCTCTTGCTGTCCTGGCCCATCTATCTACTCCCTGCCCTCTTAGCACAATCTCACCTTTTTATATTCCATTCTTCAAGAGGTGTGGCCTTTTTTGGCGAGTTTAGTGTGGCGTCATCTGATGTTTACCCGATGATCCTGGCGGAAGTTAAAAAGGAGTTTAAAATTGCGGAACCAAGACTTTACCTCTATGCCCAGTTTAATATCTAAATCAAATCGGATTATGAGAATAAGATATTTTTGAGAAATTGTTTGTGCAGACAAAATTACAAAAAATTTATATATATTTTTGCTTAAATATGACAATATGCAGACAAAAGGCGCACATTATAGATAGCACTGGATGAAGAAAGATATCTACAGGAAATTGTGCAAAGATAAGCTTTGTTATTCCTGACTTTTAGAGCCAAATA